ATGTATATATCTGGCTGGAAATATTAAATGTTTCAAAAATAATTTTATGCATCACTCTCTGCTATTTTTTCAACTTCATCAAAACCTCAAACCCTAAACATTCTAAACTAATAAATTTAAAATGCCTTCCTTCTCCTGGCACATTCATTAATTGAATGAATGCTTAATTTGCATCTGCATTTTCTCCTCAAATCATAAAAGATAATGTCAGATATATTAAGTTGTTTATTTAGCCTTTTTAGTATATATGATACATAACAGTTTGCAAGGATGCCTGGCAGTTCCAATCTGAATCCAAACCTTGTACTTGACACAAACATCTCTAAACTAAAGTATTTTCAGTCTAGACTTCAACTCTATAACTGGTCCATGCAGTCAGGTTCTTGTACCTAAATATGGCTGCCCAGTGGACAAAAATGATCAATATTTTTAGTTTCAGAACCATATTTTGATATCCAAACTATGATATTCAAACTAACCAAAAGGCTCCTAAACACATACCAGTGGCAGTATGCCTCAGAATCCCTGCCTGCAGTGATTCACTTTTGGTAAACACAATTTGTCTGCCCTAAACAGAACTGCATTTAGGTAGAAGGTAGATAATTGCTCCAGTTCATCCAACACTCTAGTTTTGTTTAAATACTGATAGTTAGGTGACATGTGTGAATAATATTACTGCTACACAGTACTTTTAGAAGCCTTAAATAATGAATTTGGTATTTAACAATTTTCATATGGCCATTTTTATATACAATGCACCCTAGAGAATCAACCCCCCCCCCAAAAAGTTAATATTTAAAAAAATGGTCAAGTACTTTTAAAAAAGTAGACGGCATTTCTTCTGGCATTGTTATGGCACTGCTGGAAGAGTTTAATTACATTTGACTGGGTGCAGTTTGAAGAATGAGATGTCTAAACAGATCAGTAATAACTCAGAGTCTCACATTTCTAGCTCCAGTCTTGCACAGCTCAGTAGTAACTGAAAGCTAGTGGCCTCCTGTGAAGTAATTAAGGTCTTAATTAAGTTTCTATTGCACAGGAATTCAAAACATAATATTCCCCCCCCATTCAGAAATGACAATAGTTGCACTTTTCAGCTGAAGTGCCAATGACTGAATGGGTAAGGCAATGTCCTAAAAAAGTGTTGCAGTTCGTCTACACATGCATTAATGGGCTTTAGTTAATGCACATTAAATCTAGTACCTCCATTGTAAGGCACTAAGAAAATGCACATTAGTCTATCTTAATGCATGTTAACTAAAGAGCACAGTTTTTAGTGCCACTATAATGCACATTAGCCTACTGTAATGTGCATCAACTAAAGAGCACGTTTTTGATGATGCTTTAATGTGTTAATACACATTAAAATGCACATGTAGACGTGCCCAATATGCCTAAACCTAAACTACTTTGTGGGGTTTCCTCCTCTTTTCTGGGACCGATAACATTAAAGGCTAGAAGTTTTAAATTAGCACCTTGTATAATACTGAATAAATGCAGTTGCATAAAGTGCAAAAGAACATTTTTGTGTATTGGACTATTTTTTAAAATTGAACTTGGAATTTGCCATAATCCTACAAATCACTTGCATAAGCATTGTTCCCCAAATTATTTATCAAAACATTTCATGCTATGATCTTATAAGGAATTAGTTTCTAAAACAGAAATTGCAGAAAACTCTCACCTAGTTCACAAAACATTTAAGTCACTTGTGCTATTCATGCACCATTTGTCATTTAATGTGAAATCTTTAGAAATAAAATGCTTCAAACTGGGGGTAACAAAAATTAAAATTCAACATAAATTAAATTAGTGCCTTTTCATAGGTTTGGAATTGTATGTTATAAAATATAACAAAGTGTATTTAAGATATATCAATATACCTTTGACCAGTGTGTAACAGTATGCACATGGTGGATCCATGTAAATCAAATCTCTTTAAATTATTAATTTTAACTGTGATTTATGTCAAGAGACCAAGAAACTTTGACACAACCACTTGAAATTAATGGCTATGTCAATTTAATCTTGTTTTGAATTCTTTCTTTTCAGTTATTTTTGTAAACAAAGGCTGAGTCACAATGGTTCTCAACCACCAAGACATGCTAAGTTATGCTAACCAGGAAGATACTCTATATAAAAGAGTAAGCAATCTGATGTCCATTTATTCAGATTATTTACATTTCATTACATTAAAAAACATAGCATTTATTGTAAAATTGATGACTGATAGTAAAAACTTTGGGGAAAAAACCTGGAATTCAACAGAATTAAAGAAGTCAGCATCTGCACTTTTTCATTAGTTTTAACTATGTTAAATGTGCTGGTATACAAGGGAGAAAATCCCCCAAACCATGCATTGCATTTATAACTTACCTATTAAATGGTAATTACCTGTAAATAGTAAACTGAACCAACTGCTTTGAGCGACTATGTCCCTCATGTCTGCTGAGCTAGGTTAACTTCTCCTCTCTGTATCTGCAGAAACTAGTTTTCTGATATTGGTTAAACATTCCAGAGTTGAAGTGCTTAGTGACGTCCCTGAATTAAGCCGTTTTAAATAATGCAAAAGAATACAATCTCTAGTGGTAGCTCCAATGCATTGAAAATTGGGTCTTTTAAAGTTTCAGCAGTAAACATGGACTGTTTGAATATTAAATTAATAAGGAACATAATAATTGTTTAAAATAAATTTAGACCTTAATATAGGTGGTCTTAATTTTACATTTTTTACAGAGGAAAACTTTTAACAAAAACTCTGATTTAAACATTGTTTTTTACCCAATCCTGGGTAAAGGATCTTACCAAAAAGATTCTGAAAGAGACACCAGGGACTAGAATACTTACACAATAAAGCAGAAGTACATAAGCTTTAGGGGTAGTTTCATAACTTGGACCATGTAAGTAAAAAAAAAAAAAAAAATCCAAACCAGAGATTAAGAGAAATTTGCACTATGGGCATATTAGGAACGGAATGGGAAGGAAGCTCTACAGAACACTCTCTATCCTCCTAAAAAAAAAAGAAAAAAAAAAGAAAAAAAAAGGTACTACAGGTTGAGTATTACCTACCTACCAAGAACGTACAATGCTCTATCCAGCATTTTGACAGCAGGCTTGAAAAACATATTATTCTAGCACTGAATAAAAAATCATGTGCAATCCTCTCCCCTCAAAGTTACAGTTGTAGCACTTTAGAACAGGACAGTTATAACACACACAGTTATTCAAAGCATAGACACACTTTTATTAAAAGCACAAGCTTCTATTTAATACTTTCAAATTAAATTTCCTACACTTTTGGTATACCTTCTTTTCTTTCTGGGAATTTCTCCACTTTTTCCCCACTTGTATTCTCTTTGCTGAATTAATTTCAGTATATTCCGTTTTCTTGTTTTCAATCCACTAACCTGCATACTTTTCTCATTTGTTAATATATTGTCTTCCAAACCTCTTCCTTTATTTTCTGCTGCTTCTCACAGAAAGCCTATCAAAAATCTTGCTTTCTTTTTGATTTATTCCAATGCTGTCCCTTGACTCACCTCCACAGCCCTGCTTCCCTCGTCAAACTAACCCACGCTTCTTTACAATTTCACAGACAACTAAACCCACAACTGCCTGGAAAAGCCAAGTCACGCCCTCTCTACAAACTTCTGGGAAGTGCACCAGTCCAGCTGGACCCACTGGCTTCAGCTGACCTAGCACTCTTCCCTGGTGGCACCACCTTAGCTTCGAAATGTAAGTTTCTGACTGCAAAAAATGTTTTTCAAAACATAAGCCAATTCAATACACCCACCTGTTGGGCTTCATTTTTTGTAGGTCCTAGCAGGATTCAGGAAAATTGAAGCCCGCTCCCTCATAACTGCTAGAATGGTTTTTTCCTAACTCTTTGACTAGCATTACAAATACCAAGTCAGCCTCCATGTCTGGTCCGCCTCCCTCACAAACCCAAAACCTGCTCATGTATTTTTGCATGCTGCTTCAAAGAGCAAATGAACTAGCTCTTATTTTTATTTGTTCCACCAGAAGCCTCGCAATGGGCAGAACCAAGATGACATTGGGCAGTCTTCACTCTACTTCACCTTGGGAAAATCAGATGTAGACTCTTTGTGCTGAAAAGGCTAATCCCACTCATTTTGGTCTTCTAAAACATCTTACTCCTACTACATAGGTGGAGGCCAGGTGACAGCTAGCCCTGCAGAAGCAATACTGGGGACTGGCCCTTGATGTTTCAGCTGCCAGGGCTACCTGACCTAGAGCAGCAGTTCTCAACCTTTTTCATACCAGGGCCCATTTGCAAATGTGGATAGCCAGTCCCCAACCAGCACCCCTCACTCTTGACCTGCTGGCCCCACCACCAGCCCCCCAGTATGCGGGGCGGGGGGGGGTGGCAAGCACATAAGCTCTGCCAGCCTGCAAGGGAAAATCCCTGGTTTTCTCCTTTAAATGAAAATCCATTTTTTAAGTTTGTTCGGGACCCTTTCATAATTTTTTAGCCCCATGTTTGGGCAGTGACCCACTGGTTGATAAAGTCCACCCCACCCCCGCAAAAATCTGTGGTTTCCATCCTCAGCCCCAGCTGACAACCCCTCTGGCTAAGTCCAAGCTACCAGCGTTGCCCACGGCCCGTCCGCGGGTCCGAGGGCTGATGGACACCACTTGACCTTGAAGGGCTGCAGGGCGCGCTGCAGGGCTCCTGCACGATCCCTCGCTTCAGGCCGCGTTGAGGCGGGCCCACCCCGCACTCCCCGGCGCAGGAGGTGGCCAGTGCCCCCTCCAGGGGCGCTTGCAATGCGGGAGAGGGGCGAAGCACGCGGGGCCCCGGCTAGGCAGGGGCAAGCGGCACCGCATCCCTCGGCCCGGCGGCGGGGAATCTCTCCCCGGCCAAGGGCGGTCCCTCCCCCATGTCCCCCCAGCGCAGTATCGAGCGCGCAGCGGAGCCCCAGGCTCGGCCCGGAACAAAGGCGGCCGCCACGAGGCGATGGCGGCGCCTCCCGCGGTACCTGGTGTCTGTCAGCGCGGACGAAGCTGCTCATATTGGGACGAAGCCGGTTCGCAGACGCAGACTCAGCGGGGCGGTGTGTATCTGTGTGCGTGTATCTGTATGCGTGTGTGTATCTCTGTATGTGCGCGGCTCCACGAGCAGGACCACGGTCGGTGCTTCCGTCCCCGGGCGGGCTGCGCACAGTCTGGCCAAGTCCCGCGCGCGGGCGCTCGTGCCTCTTCGCCCAGCCCGGTACCACTCCGCCGCGAGCGAGCGGGCGGGGCCGGCGGTAAACGAAGTCAGATCCTTCCGCCGATAAAAAGGAGTCCCGCGCACGGGTCCCCCCCCCGCCTCCTGCCTCGCAAGTAGGTCAGTGGAAGGTGACGGGGGGAGCGGGCCCAGCCGCCTGGGACCGGTTTCCACCTGCTACAGGCGGCGTTGCTTCCCCCTTGGCGGTGTGCGGCGGCAGAGGAGCCGCCCGTGCTCCCCCCTCCCCCCGCCCTGCTGAGGCGGGAAGGCGCCGGGTCTGCGCAGCCCCTCAGCAGGGAGCGCGTCCGGGGCTGCGGGTGTGGCGCTGGGAGTTGAGCGTTACCCGGATCGGGCGCGGCTTGCGGCTCCCACCCCGACATCCACATTTCAGGGTGGGGAGCTCGTAATTGAGGCTGTCCCCGCTCCACTTAGCTAAATTTCCAAGTGCCACGTGGCGGGATCGAGACTAGGACTGACTCGGGCCCGCTCGGAGGGTCCAGGGGCTGGAAGGGTGGGCACCGCCCTCCCCCCCGAAGATCAGTGTGTGTGTAAATAACACGGCCTACGTGTCTCTCCTGCTGTCTTTCTCACGTCTCTCACACACCGGTCTCTCACACGTACTCAGACGCACATTCAGGTTCCACCCCATACACACACATACATACACGTCACTTATACCCCAAAAGATGTGCGTGGCTAGGTACACACATTCAAAATGCACGAGGTAAGAATCAATCCAAGTTAGGCAGTTTTCTCTAAGCAGCCTAGTTTACATGGGTGGGGAACAGAACATGCATTTGCCCTTGGGTGGTGGTGGGGGCAAATCTTAGACTGGGTTCTGCCATTTTTAAACCCATCTATGTGTACTGCACTTCAGTTTTGTTACTGGCATAGACTGGTTTTGTGTGCCAAACTCCTGTTACAGGTATAGACCAGTTTCTGATCACTTACATTGGTACAAGTATAATGTCTGTAGCTGGCCTGTTTGTATGTGTAAGACACACGCACGCACACCCCCCTCTCCCTCTTATGCAGTGTTAATATACTTTTTGAGTGTAAGAGTGAAGGGTACCATCAGTTTCAATCCAGAATAAAAGGTGCCTCAGGTATCAGGTTTCCTGGGGAAATGAGCTTGGCATGTAAACTAGAAGGTGGGCACATACTCAAAAAACCCGAGTTGTCATGATCAGCTTGAACTAGGAGAGTGTGTCAAGGGGGCTTCCCCTGCTATCCATCCTGGCTGCCCTCTCATAGACTTCAGTGCCCTCCAAAATGACTGGAAGGATGGACACCAGCCTGCATATATTACACTTGCACATGAAAGCAACCTGGGTAGGGTAGCAGGAGTTTCAGAGGACAAGATTAAGCTTAAGAATTAGAAACTGGGGAAAGGATCTCAGACAAATAGTGTGAAATTCAGTGAGGCCAAATCAAAAGTACCGCACTTGAGAACAAACGAATTAAATGTACAGATACAAAAGGCCCAAGGGCTGTGTGTGGGGGATTAACCTGTGTCCCTCCCCGCCCTGCCCTAGGTTCCTGCCATGACTCTCCTGTTTCTGCTGCAGGGGTCTTTGCAGTCCCCCTTTCAACTACAGCTTCTGCTTCCTGATGGTGTGGCTCACTGGGCAAAGGAAGCTCACTGCCAGAAGGCTCAGAGGGTGCTGGGAAACCTATGGAGTACATGAGAACTAGTGCAGTGTAGCAGGGCCTGTCCATGTGCAGCACAGGGACTCGAGGGGACATGCAACCTACACAGCATATGACCAAAGGGAACATGCAGCCTGTGGCCACTCAAGTTGGACAGCCCTGGGCCACAGTAAGAGATCTGGGGATGATCCTAGATCACAAACTGACTAAGAGTAAAAAATGGACTATTCTAGAGAAGTCATAAGTCACCGGAAATGATTCTTCCTCTTTGTTCAGCACTGTTGTGGCCTTATTTTAAGTACAGTGTTAAGTTTGGGGAATGGCAGTTCAAGACGTGGAAAAACAGAAAACAGATTAAAGGGAAGAAAACATGGGATTATTTAGTTTAGATGAAGAGTAAGGGGGTTTTGAGAACAGACTTCAAATACAAAATTTGTCATTGTCTCGTTATAAAGAGAATGTCAGTTCATTATTTCCTGTGTCCAGAAGAGAGATGACAAGAAGCAATGACCTTAAGTTGCAAGAAGAAAGATTTAGATCAGGGGTGTCCAACCTTTTTGAATGTGGGGCTGGATCATGAACTTTTTATCATCCAGTGGGCTGGCGAGCCTTATTCAAAGACCTCACAGGAAGCGGTATCACATGAGGAAGTAATGTCACGTGACTTTTGACACCAATGAAGTTGCAGGAAGTGACAATGAAATGGGTCTGGAAATGTGGTTTAAAATCCAAAATAAAAACAATTTGGTTTGGTAGCACTGTTTTATTTTAAACAACCCCCTAGCAGTGCTGGAGAGGAGCATGCCACCCCACTGCACCCTTAATTCCCTGCCTTTGTCCACATGGAAAGCCACAATTTGCAGACGGGTAGAAATCATTTTTGAATACAAAACCTCTGTTGACATCATGCTGTATTTACTCCAGAGAATTGTTGCAGGGATCTGATTTTTCCAAAGGTTAGCAGAGCTTCCTTTTACCATGGTTTCATGTCTCCTAGTTGTCAAATACTTGGTTGAAATGCATCACAGATCTTTAATTTCTTATTTGCAGGCGCTGTCTTGGGGCGACATCCAGTTGGGGGGGGCAGGAGCAGGCGCTTGCGTGGCCTATCCAATCTGGCCACGGCCTGGGGGCGCAGCAGTCAAGGGGCACTGCCTGACCCCGCCGTGTTCTCCCTGCCACCTGGGCGGCCTTGAAGATGCTCCCACACCTGCGCGCCTCGGCTCAGCAGCCAGGGGAACATGCAGGGACCCTACAGGGTGTGCAGGACATGCAGAGACACCCCCCTGCTCCCTCTCCCCTGGGGCAGCCCGAGCCTGACTAGTGGGGCTCCCTCCCTCCACAGAGCCCACAACTCACCACCCCCAGCGCGATGTATGCAGGCACGGGGGGATGTGGGGAGGCGGGAACGGCGCCAGTTTCCCACCCTGACAGCCACAGCGGCAGCAGCATTTCCTGTGGGCCCGGCCACAGCCTCCCTGCAAGCCAGCATCTGCGCCCCCCATGCCTGCCCTCCCGCTGCACCGCGACCTGCTCCAGCCCATGCGGCCGGTGGGGACTGGCACGGGGCGGGGCTGGCATGCAAATGAGGAAGGGAGGGGCAGGCCTAGGAAGGGACACCTTGAAATGAGGGGGAGGGGAGGAGCCGCACCACATCGGCAACGTGAAGCTGACGTGGTGCGTCTGGGAAATTTGTCCCTTCCCCAGCCCTTCAGCAGCCATTAGGAAGCTGCGGAGGGGCTGGGAGAGGGACAACGGATGGAAACGACAGTAAACAGTTTTTACTTTCATTGCCCATTGCAGCACCTCGGGCCTCAGAAAATGGCTTGGAGGCCCACAGGCTGTATGTTGAACAAACCTGATTTAGATTAAATATTAAGAACACCTTTTTAATTTTAAAGGTGGTGAAGCATTGGGACAAGTTACAGAGAAAGGTAGCATATCTGTTATTGGCAGTTTAGACAAATCCTTGTCATGGTTTAGACAGGTTTAGACGGAGATGTTTCTGTTTTAGCCAGACTACGATCTCATAGAGATAACGGAGACCTGGTGGGACTCCACCTGTCCTCGTGAAGGCCAATGTGGTGCCTATCTTCAAGAAAGGAAGGAAAGTAGATCCAGGGAACTACAGGCCTATCAGCCTGACCTCTATCCTGGGGAAGATCTTGGAAAAAATTATCAAAGAAACCATTCTTGACAAACTGGCTGATGGCAACATCCTGAGGGATAGCCAGCATGGGTTTGTTGCAGGCAGGTCTTGCCTGACCAATCTCATCTCCTTCTACGACCAGGTGACATATCACCTGGACAAGGGAGAAGAGACTGACGTCATATATCTTGATTTTAAAGGAGCCTTCGATCTGGCATCCCATGATCATCTCATAGAAAAACTGGCCAACTGCAGCCTCGGCTACATCACAGTCCACTGGCTGGGAACCTGGCTTTGAGGTCGGACCCAGAGAGTGGTAGTTGATGGAAGTCAATCATTGCGGTGCGCCATGACCAGTGGGGTCCCCCAAGGTTCGGTTCTTGGGCCTATACTCTTTAACATCATTAATGATGTGGACATTGGTATCAGAAGCAGGCTGGTCAAGTTCGCCAATGGCACCTGAGGGCAGGATGGTGATCCAGGCCGACCTTGACAGGCTCAAAAAATGGGCAGATGAATACCTGATGGCATTCAACACCGAAAAATGCAAGGTACTCCACCTTGGCAAGAAAAAACGGCAGCATACTTATAGGCTCAGCAGTGTTACACTTGCTAGGACCCTGGCTGAAAGGCACTTGAGGGTCATGATTGATCACAAGATGAATATGAGCCACCAATGTGATGTTGCAGCTGGTAAAGCGAGCAAAACTCTGGCTTGCATCTGCATCCATAGATGCTTCTCAAGCAAGTCCCAGAATGTCATCCTCCCACTGTACTCGGCCTTGGTGAGGCCACAGCTGGAGTACTGCATCCAGTTCTGGGCTCCACAATTTAAAAAGGGTGTGGAGAAGCTTGAGAGAGTGCAGAGGAGAGCCACACACATGGTCAGAGGGCAGGAGAGCAGACCTTATGATGAGAGGCTGAGAGATATGGGACTCTTCAGCCTGGAAAAGCGCAGGCTCAGAGGGGACATGCTGGCTGCCTATAAGTATATAAGGGGTGTATATCAGGATCTGGGGGAACGTCTGTTCACCAGAGCGCCCCAAGGGATGACAAGGTCAAATGGTCACAAACTCCTCCAAGACCCATTTCAGGCTGGATGTAAGGAAGAACTTCTTTACTGTCTGAGCCCCCAAGGCCTGGAAAAGACTGCCGCCAGGGGTGGTACAAGCACCTACTCTGGACATCTTT